TGGGTGATTTTTTGTGTTTTTAGTAGAGACGGGGTTTCGCCATGTTGGCCAGGCTGGTCTGGAACTCCTGGCCTCAGGTGATCCGCCCGCCTTGGTCTCCCAATGTGCTGGTATTACAGGTGTGAGCCACTGTGCCTGGCCTCTCTGTGTCTTTATTAAACTTAAGTTGGAATGTTCTTAAGAAATAAAAACTGGGCTCAGTGGCACATGCCTGTAGTCTAGCTACTCTGAGGCTGAGGCGGGAGGATTGCTTGAGCCCAGGAGTTTGAGGCCAGCCTGGGCAACACAGTGAGACTTAATCCCCACCTAAAAAACTTCTTTATTTTTTTTTAATTTTCAAATTTTTTGGAGACAGAGTCTCGCTCTGTCACCCCTGCTGCAGTTCGGTGGTGCGATCTTAGCTCACTGTAAGGATCTCCGCTTCCTGGGTTCAAGCAATTCTCCTGCCTCAGCCTCCCAAGTAGCTGGGACTACAAGTGTGAGCCACCATGCCCGGCTAATTTTTGTATTTTTAGTAGAGATGGGATTTTGCCATGTTGCCCAGGCTGGTCTCAAACTCCTGAGCTCGGGCGATCCACCCGTCTCGGCCTCCCAAAGTGCTGGGATTATAGGCATGAGCCACCGTGCCTGGCCCAAAAAAAGTCTTCTTAAAAAATAAATCTTCTTAAAAATAGAGGGACTGAATATTGCATTGTTATTTTTATGGAGGCCAGAAGAAACATAGCACCCTTTTCTGAGCCACATTTACAAGGAATATTCCAAGTAGGACGCAGCTACCGGAGTAAAATGCTTCGTGTTCGAAAGCATAGGAATATATGTGTGTATGCATACACATATGCCTCGTTTTTTATGATATCGTACGTAAATGCTAAATGAGCAGTGACTCACTGTGTTATAATTATGTAAACCCCGCTGGGTTTTAACACAAGTCGTTCTTTTCTCTTTTAGTCAGTTTACAGACACGAGACAGAATAGGAACTGGCGGCTCGGTGGTGGACTGCAGGGGACTGTTAGAAAATGAAGGGTACGTATGACCACAGCGAGAGGCGGACCGAGTTCTCTGCTGCCTTAACCTCTCGGCCTATAGGAAAGTGCCCTTCCCTCCTTAAGTCACTCTGCAGAAGGCTTGAGATGCATAAAGGATGTTGGGATAAAACTGTGAACCACTTTGCTTGTCTATTAAGGAAGCTGTAAAAACAACTGGGGTTGGCCGGGCGCAGTGGCTCACGCCTGTAATCCCAGCAGTTTGGGAGGCTGAGGCAGGCGGATCATGAGGTCAGGAGATCGAAACCATCCTGGCTAATACAGTGAAACGCCATCTCTACTAAAAATACAAAAAATTAGCCAGGCGTGGTGGCAGGAGCCTGTAGTCCCAGCCTACTTGGGAGGCTGAGACAGGAGAATTGCTTGAACCTGGGAGGAGGAGGTTGCAATGAGAAGAGATCGCGCCACTGCACTGCAGCCTGGGTGACAGAGTGAGACTCTGTCTCAAAAAAAAAAACCCAAAAATAAAAAACAACAACAATTCAGGTTGTGCCTGAAAGACTCAGAATCCAATGAAAGAGGCTCCCATGGGCCAAAGATGGGTGAGTTTGAGCATCAGTAAGGATTATAACTGCCTGTAATCCCAGCACTTTGGGAGGCCAAGGTGTCTGGAGGCTTTGGTCTTGAGTTTGAGACCAGCCAGAGCAATATAGTGAGACTTTATCTCTGCTAAAAAATAAAAAATAAGAAATTAGCTGGGCATGGTGGCATGCACCTATAGGCCCAGCTGCTAGGGAAGCTGAGGCGGGAGGATTGCTTTGAGTCCAGGAGTTTGCAGTTGCGGTGAACCCTGATGACACTACTGCCCTCCACCTTGGGCGACACAGCAAGACCCTGGCTCAAAGAAAAGAAAAGAATTATAACTGCCATGAATTTGGAACATATCAAATATATTAAAAATCCTTGGGTTCATAATGACGGGGGAAAGAACTCAACACACTAAAAACAAACTGCCGAACTGTCATTGGTCACTGTGACAATTTTGCAGTCCCCCATGAATTAATGGACCTGGCCAACAATCAATAATTGCTAACAACATCACAGAAGAGAGATGATCCAACGTTAACACACCTCTTGGAAATACAGGGGACCAGGAGTGTGTCTCACGGCCCCAAGGGAATATAATCAACAAGCATCCAGAATGGGGCTCTCCATAGGACAGACAACCCACTGTCTTCAGCAGATAGACTGCGAGGAAAGCAAAGACAGGAGGGGAGGAGGACTGTCAACAATTCATATGAAAACAAACTTGAGACATAGCTACACGTGCAAGGTGTGGACTTTGGATCCTGATTGATGAGACAATTGGAGAAATCTGAACACTGGCATTTGATTTTTTAAAAAATTAATGAACATTTTTTAGTTGTGATAATGGAAAAAGTCCTAGTCTTTTAGAGGGACAACATAGATCCTTTTAGAGGCTGAAATATTTAAGGATGAAGTCATAAAATGTTGGGGTTGGTGGGGAGGGATTGGAAGAGTGGACACTGGATGACGGTTAGTTGGGAGGGGTGGACACGGGGGGTTCATTGTACTGGTCTCTCATTTTTTGTACATATTTGAAATTTTTCAATCTAAGATTTTAAAAAAGTATATGCTTCTAGGGGACAGTAGCCTATTAAGGTAAATTGTCTTCAAAATTGCTCAGGGGATAGAGATTGATGTTTAAAAGGTACCTAAAGGTATTTTGGTATTTTATGTAACCAGGAGTTTCATTATAGAGTAAAATAACAAGGAAAATGGAGTATTTGGATATGATTTTATTTTATTTTCAAGATGGAGTCTTGCTCTGTCACCCAGGCTGGAGTACAGTGGTACAATCTCGGCTCACTGCAACCTCCTGGGTTCAAGCAATTCTCGTGCCTCAGCCTCCCAAGTAGCTGGGACCATGGGCATGTGCCACCATGCCCAGCTAATTTTTGTATTTTTAGTAGAGATGGGGTTTCACCATATTGGTCAGGCTGGTCTTGAACTCCTGACCTCAAGTGATCTGCCCACCTCGGCCTCCTGAAGTTGGGATTACAGGCGTGAGCCACCGCACCCGGCCTGGATGTGATTTTAAATCAAGAAAAATGAGATCTCATTTCACGAACTCCTCATAGTCTAAGGCTGGTTTCTTCTAATCGTTCCAGTCTACCCTACGGTGAAACTGTACAGTTGGCCTTGGGGACACTCCGGCCACCTGTTCCTCTTAGAAGAGTCTGTCTTTCTGTTTGAGTGGCACAGGGTGAGTTTTACAAAACTAGGCCCTTGGAACACTGGACATTGTTAAAGGAAAGCAAATGAATGTATGTGACGGTGTCCCTAGGACACTAGCCCTAAGGCGCTGGTCTTGTGACTCCTCCGTGGTGACACCATGCCTGCCTGCTCTCATCCCTTTCAGATCGGTGTATGAAGACTCAGGGCCTGGGAGGCCACTCAGCTGCTTCATGGAGGAACCAGCCCCTTACACAGATAGCACCGGTGCTGCTGCCGGAGGAGGGAACTGCAGGTTTGTGGAGTCCCCAAGTCAAGATCAAAGACTTCAGGCACAGCGGCTTCGAAACCCTGATGTGCGAGGTTCACTACAGACGCCCCAGAACCGACCACACGGCCACCAGTCCCCGGAACTGCCCGAAGGCTACGGTGAGAGAATGTACCCTGCTGTGGCCAGTGCCATCTGCCCTGTTTCCACGAGCTTGACTTTTTTTTTTTTTTTTTTGAGACAAGGTCTCGCTCTGTCACCCATGCTGGAGTGCAGTGGCATGATCTTGGCTTACGGCAGCCTTGACCTCCCTAGCTCAAATGATCCTCCCAAGTAGCTGGGATTACAGGCACACGCCATCATGCCCGGCTAATTTTTGTATTTTTTATAGAGAATGGGTCTCACCATGTTGCCCAGGCTGGTCTCAAACTCCTGGGCTCAAGTGATCCGTTTGCCTCAGCCGCCCAAGTGCTGGGGTTACTGACGTGAGCCACGGCACCCGGCCTTTAACCCTTTTTGAGTAGCCTGTTTGTGCCGTAAGTGCGGATGTTTGCATGGCTGTGCCATTTGATGATTGTGGCAGTGTAAAGACAACTGGAAGAGAATGGTGCTCAATCTAGCTAAGCATGAATTTTCAGCAATTGCTCCACATCTCCCAGTCTAGAAATCAAGTGAAAATCTTAGGCAAACGAAGACCAGAGCCAACCAAGATACCATGTAGGCTAGATGAGGATGTCTGTAGTGCTCTGGAAAGGAGAGCATGGGGCAAGACGGAGAAGAGGGGATTATTTGGCCGCCTCAGAAGAACCGGGAGAAGACGGGGAGTGTTAGCTAGATGTAGATAATACCAGAAGGGAGGGCATCGAGGGTTGGTTACAGACTCTCCCTGGAACTGAAGTTGTCTAATGTGGATCCCTGATTTCTTGTGTAGAACAAAGAACAACAGTCCAGGGCCAGGTTTACTTTTTGCACACACAGACCGGAGTTAGCACGTGGCACGACCCTAGGATACCAAGGTAAGCCTCCTGAAATGCACACCCTCCCAGCTGTCTTTCCAGCAGCTGACTTGAAAAGCCAGTGCCCTCTCCCAGATGTGTTGCTCTCGTTTTAAACTAAAAATATTGATGAATGAGATGATATTGATGTCTGGGATTTCCTTCAGATAAGCTGGGGTGGGGGGAGTGGCCAGGGGTACGTTTGAAACGAGGTTGACCATGATCATTGCTGAAGTTGGTTACACAGCGATTCCTTATGATCGCTCATTTTTTTTTATATGCTTAAAATTTTCTATCATAAGTCAAGGAAATATAAAGACTCTGTTACCCTTTCTGTCTTCTACTTTACTGTCCCCATTGCCTCAGTCCCTCGGGGACCATTCCTGGGGGAGATGAAGCTTTTCTATACGAATTCCTTCTGCAAGGCCATACATCTGAGCCCAGGTTAGAGAGACCCCCCCACCCCATAACAGAGTTAAGTTTCTTTGTTTCTTTTCTTTGCTTTTTATTTCCTTTTGGAATAGCATTACTACCTAATACGATTTTTGGTAATACTTAGTTCCTTTTTATTCATAATTTGTTTCATCTGAGCATAAACTTCCTGTCTTTGATTTTCCAAATCTGTGTTTAATTTATGACTCAGTACCTATAATGAGACTGGAAATATATTACCTGCAAACGAATGCGGTGTCTCTTTTGTACCCCGTTAGAAATGACAGGCTTTTGTGTTAATTAGAAACACATCTTGGTCGGTAAAGCTGTGCTCCCTTCTGACTGTAGATTGTGTTGAAATGATTAATCAAGAGAATAATCATTCTTAGTGTGGAAAATACTTGTTGAACAAAAAGCCCATTTGAAAATGAGAATGGCTTGTCCTGCAACTGTTTAGAATTGTGAGTTTCTGAATGCATGTTCCTCTATTCTCCCTTCGCCCTGAAAAGCTTGGTGCTGTCTGGGAACTTTCCAATGAAGAAACCCTTCTGGCCTGGAGCGTTTAATGACACTTGTGAATTCAGTTAGTTTTCTGACAGCACTAAGATACTTCCTACTATTTGGGTCTTCTTTCGTATAAGAAATGATATTCTGTGGGGAGCCCCTGTTCCTTATCATGGTTATAAGCTCTCAAACTTCCTTTTTTTGTTTTGAGATGGAATTTTGCTCTTGTCACCCAGGCTGGAGTGCAATGGTGTGATCTGGGCTCACTGCAACCTCCACCTCCCGGGTTCAAACGATTCTCCTGCCTCAGCCTCCCAAGTAGCTGGGATTACAGGCACCCGCCACCACACCCAACTAATTTTTGTATTATTAGTAGAGACGGGGTTTCATCATGTTGGCCAGGATGGTCTTGAACTCCTGACCTCAGGTGATCTACCCGCCTCCCAGAGTGCTGGGATTACAGGCGTGAGCCACCGCACCCAGCCTGAAAGTTTGGTTTTTAATCTCTTGGATGTTGCTGCTGTTTGCAACAGAGGGGCCTGGACTGAGTGGAGGTTTGGCATAAGTAGCACCATGAAGGTCCATCTTAGCAGAGCTGGGACACAGACACCTTGATAAGGAACCTCTGTGGCTTCTGTTGCTGACTTTTGGCCTCATTCCTCTGTACTCAGCTGGATAAACCTCTCTGTATCTTCCATTTGGTAGAGACCTTAACAGTGTGAACTGTGATGAACTTGGACCACTGCCGCCAGGCTGGGAAGTCAGAAGTACAGTTTCTGGGAGGATATATTTTGTAGATCATAATAACCGAACAACCCAGTTTACAGACCCAAGGTTACACCACATCATGAAGTAAGACTTTAAAAATAGTTTTTGCTGACCTCTTTCATTGATAATTGAATGCTTTCTTGGACTGATTTGTGTGAATGTATTGACTGCCTTGCTGGTTGGGTAATAAGCGTGGTCAAAATGATGTTAGATATCTGGTGGATAACTGCATATTTTAAACTCTTAAATTAGCTGTGAGGAGCGCTGAAGCCCTAGATTGCTGCTACCCTTTTCTTACTTGCAGCCTAGATAAAATTTCCCGAGATGGGAGTCTTAGGCAGCTTCACGAAGGAAGCTTCTGCAGGCAGCGCTCTCATGAGACATGCGGCCTTAGGTTGAGAAGTAGAGATAGACGATGTCCCCCTAGTGCCTGCACGGTGGGGAACTGGATACCTCGGAACTGGGAATTCTCTTGGATCCCATATTTAGTGTTCCAGGCCTGTTGTGTTCTCAGAGCCAAACATCCCACGTAGCTCTTTTTTTAATTTTGAGACAGAGTCCTGCTCTGTCGCCCAGGCTGGAGTGCAGTGGCGCGATCTCGGCTCACTGCAAGCTCCGTCTCCCTGGTTCAAGTGATTCTCCTGCCTCAGCCTACTAAGTAGCTAGGACTACAGGCACCTGCCACCATACCCGGCTAATTTATTGTATTTTTAGTAGAGATGGGATTTTGCCACGTTGGCCAGGCTGGTCCCGAATTCCTGACTTCGGGTGATCTGCCTGTCTCGGCCTCCCGAAGTGCTGGGATTACAGGCATGAGCCACTGCTCCCACCCTCGACATAGCTCTTTTTACCGACAGCTGTGTGTCTCAGTGGCAAAACTTAAACAGGACAACTGCCACTTTGTCACTGTACTAATCCTACTCCTTTTATTTTACTGAAAGTTTGCTCTCAATGAGCAGGCATGGAAATCTCTTGGCGGTAAAAATGAGGGATGGTTTTCATTAGATTTCACTTGAGCAGTTTGTTGTGCCTATCATTAGATTTCATTTGAGCTCTCCACTGTTATCTCCTTTAAAATTTTTTCCCGTCATCTCCATTTCATTCTAACTGCCAAGGTGCATCTGATGGTACTGGTCCATCTCATGGGTGTGTAATAGATGCATAATAAATGACAACCATTTCCAGTTTTATTTGTAGTAGTAATGTGCGAGATAAGTGGTTGCTTGGAATTGGGGTACCTCTCTTTTTTTTTTGAGACAGAGTCTGGCTCTGTCGCCCGGGCTGGAGGGCAGTGGCGCGATCTCGGCTCACTGCAACCTCCACTTCCCGGGTTCAAATGATTTTCCTCTCTCAGCCTCCTGAGTAGCTGGGATTACAGGTGCCCACCACCACACCTGGCTAATTTTTTGTATTTTTAGTAGAGACCAGGGTTCACCATGTTGTCCAGGCTGGTCTCGAACTCCTGACCTCAGGTGATTCACCTGCCTTGGCCTCCCAAAGTGCTGGGATTACAGGCTTGAGCCACCACGCCCGGCCTGGGGTACCTCCTTTATTGTACTGTAGATCTATATTTAGGCTAATGTGGCCATCAGCGACTTTTACACAGCTAGCTAGGCACCTGGTTATGCAAATTCTCCCTGAAGGTGCACATAGCAAGCCCACTCCACCGACCCTGTCGCGTACGTGGGTGCTTGCAGCTCCCCTGGCTGGGGCTTCAGAGTGACTCTCTGCGTCTCTTCTTCCCAAGTCACCAGTGCCAACTCAAGGAGCCCAGCCAGCCGCTGCCACTGCCCAGCGAGGGCTCTCTGGAGGACGAGGAGCTTCCTGCCCAGAGATACGAAAGAGATCTAGTCCAGAAGCTGAAAGTCCTCAGACATGAACTGTCGCTTCAGCAGCCCCAAGCTGGTCACTGCCGCATCGAAGTGTCCAGAGAAGAAATCTTCGAGGTAGAGAGTTCAGGGCCACTGCCCAGACCCTGTTCAGAAACAAATAAGGCAGCTCAGACAAAGGAATCTCAAATGCCTTTGTTTTAAAGGGCTGCTTTAAATGAACTGCTTTGTGGGTGATGTCCGCGTTTCAGGGAACCCTTCTTTCTGTTGGTATTTCAGGTATTGATTTTATTACTAAGGGAAGTGCAGAGTTTGTCAGAACCACAGCCTGTGTAGAGGGAGGGAATGGTATTTATTTCCTCTCATGGTAAAAAGGGAGACAACTAAATAGTTTCACCTCTAGGTTTTCATAGAAACTAGCACTAAAAAATAGTGGGAACCGCCTTGCCTACATGATGCGGGTTAAATATTCCTGCAATCTGCGCCTTCCCCAGAGCCAGGCAGTCTCCCTCCTCTCTTCTTGTATGAGATGTCATCGGAGGGCTGTCCTTCTCAGGGCAGCTCAGGGGCTGGGGGCCGTCCTGCTTCTCCTGTGGAAATTGGCGGGGAGCTGGTGGCTCCTGGGACAGGTTCTGTCCCTTACACGGCTTCCTGCAGGAGCCGGCCTCTAAACAGACCAGCCCTTTTCCCAAGAAAGCTGACCATTCGGAAAAATCTCCATGGCATTTGGGCCATTTCCTGCCGTCCTTTGTGGAGACACTGTCAGAAATGATCAAAGGAGACAGAGCACAGATTCTCCCTGGGTGACAGTGCTGAGGGAGCACAGCGGGCCGAGGAGCTGAGCGCCTTCCCCACCGCCAGGGCTGGGCCTGGGTGTTGGATGGGCAGCTTGGCCGCAGTGCCCAGCCCTGCCTGCTGCATGTCTGCCCTTGTTGCAGGGTTAGAAAAGCACTGTAGTACTGACTTCACTACCAGATTGTTTCCTCTTTCCCTCTCAGGTTGTCAGAGTTTTTTTTGTTTTTTTTTTTGTTTTGTTTTTGAGACGGAGTCTCGCTCTGTTGCCCAGGCTGGAGTGCGTGATCTTGGCTTACTGCAAACTCCGCCTCCCAGGTTCAAGCGATTCTGCCTCAGCCTCCCGAGTAGCTGGGATTACAGGCACCCGCCACCACACCCGGTTACTTTTTTGTATTTTTAGTAGAGACAGGGTTTCACCATGTTGGCCAGGCTGGTCTCGAACTCCTGACCTCAGGTAAGCTGCCCACCTCAGCCTCCCAAAGTGCTGGGATTACAGGTATGGGCCACCGCACCCAGCTGGGTTGCTGGAGTTTGAATTGCGTTACATTTAAAGCATAAAAAAATTCTTAAGTACCTTGTTACTGAATCTATATCTACAGACATGTAGTGTCTTCTGTTTCAAGTGCCGAGTCTGAGGGAATAGCAGGCTGATCACATGTGTTCTGTGCTGTGCTTAAGCCACCTTATGTCTTACTTAAAAACTTAAAATCTTTTTGCTTTTTGACTCAGTGTGAAGTCAAATGTGATTTTTCACTTTAGATATAAAAACAGGCTCAGAACTCCCTTAGCATTCAGACTTTCTAACATCTTGATTTTGGTTGCAATGCATAAGTTGTTTATAGTGTGCACTGAAATTAATCTATACAGAGAAAAACCAACCCTAGTGAGATTTGTCCTTCACTCCTTGGTGATTCACTGAAAACAGACACGTGTTTCCCTTAAGGTTAGTGTTTCCTGGCATTGTGTTTGTTTTGTTGTTGTCTCAGAGGGAGAAACTGAGAAAAAAGATGATGGAATATACTAGATGCCAAAGAAACATTCCGATTAGGAGCCAGATAAAACTTGAATTGGAATGGATGCGTATTCTTAACCAGGCGCCATTACCAATAACCGTTTATAACTTGAAGGATAAGAAATGTTCTTCTCTCTGAAACTGTGATGTTGCTATTCAGGAGTCTTACCGCCAGATCATGAAGATGCGACCCAAAGACTTGAAGAAACGGCTAATGGTGAAATTCCGTGGGGAAGAAGGTTTGGATTACGGCGGCGTGGCCAGGTGAGTTGCTAATTCACCTTCTCTGCTGCGTGGATTTCTGTCTTTTCAGGAGAAGTCATTTGCCCTTCTCCAGTGCTCATCACCAAGCACTCCCGGGCAGGGCTGATGTCTCCCTGGAGCAGTCGGGCCAGCATGCGCTGGCTGCAGCCACCCTGCTGAGAACAGGAGTTCCTCAGAGCATGCTCGTGCCAGCCTCTTGCCATAACTTACCAGAATATCCGTGATCATCACCGCTAATCAACTTCTTGTAAAGCTAGAATTCAACTTTGAAACTCGCTCCTTTCTTTTGAAACATAATTTCAGGACATGCTCCTGAAATTAACATAGGAGGCGGCCTTGCTCTCCTCTGTAGAGGATTTTCTGCAGGGAGCAGGGCACGGACCGCATTTGTGCATGTAAACTGCATGTAAATCGCATTTGTGTCAAAAGAATTATGTAAAATGTTGAAATTGTGGTCAAAATAATTCAAGAAAATGATATATTAAAAAAAAACAATAGAATGATGAAAAGCTGCTATTTCATGACCTGCCTCTTTTCACCTTCAAGACAATTTTTCTTTTTTTTTTGTCTTTTTTGAGACGGACTCTTGCTCGGTTGCCCAGGCTGGAGTGCAGTGGCGCAATCATAGCTCACTGCAGCCTCAACCTCCAGGGCTCAAGCCAGCCTCCCACCTCAGCCTCCCAAGTAGCTGGAACTACAGCTGTGTAACACCACGCCTGGCTAATTTTTTAAAAAGTTTTTTGTAGAGATGAGGTCTTACTATGTTGCCCAGGCTGGTCTCAAACTCCTGGGCTCAAGCCATCCTCCCATCTTGGCCCCCAAAGTGCTGAGACTACAGGTGCGAACCACTGTGCTTGGCTAAGACAACTGCTTCTTAACTCTTTTAGCTCTTTCTTTGAATAGGTATCTTATTATTTCTGGATCTAATGATGTATGGGCATATACAGAAGATAGACTGACTCTAGTTACTCTCATGTTCAATTTAGTAATATGAATCTTTTTAGTTCTTCCCTCATTTGTAACTTCATGTCCTGTGCTTTCACCTTTAGTTTTTGATTTATCAACTAGAGACATGATCTCTGGACCTCATTTGCATAAGAACAGGCTATTCATACTTGTAACTTCTCTTCAGCATTCCTTCTGCCTCTTAAATTCTGTCATCTGTAATATTACTTTTATATTGTCAAGGTTAAGATTTACATTCTCTTCTGTAACCAAAATTTGGTGAGTCTCCTATGCTTGTCTACCAATTATTTGTAAAGGGATGAAAGTTTATATGGTTTATATTATTATGAATGAAAATATTGTCCATTAAGGGGTTAAATAGTATTCTAGAATTTGTTTAACTTTTTGGAACAAATTCTAATTTTTCCAAGAATTTCTTCTTCCCTTTTTTTCTGGAGACAGAGTCTCACTCTGTGGCCCAGGCTGGAGTCCACTGGCTGGATCTCAGCTCACTGCTACCTCCACCTCCCAGGTTCAAGTGATTCTTGTGCCTCAGCCCACTGAGTAGCTGGGACTATAGGAGCGAGTCACCATGTCCAGCTGATTTTTATATTTTCAGTAGAGACGGGGTTTCACCATGGTGGCCAGGTGGGAGTTGAACTCCTGACCTCAGGTGATCCTCCCGCCTGGGCTTCCCTCCCCAGTAGCTTTCACTGTCTCTGTTGCCCCTTGAACTTCAAGTCCTCCAGGACGGTTACACATCATACCTTCTGACAGCCCCCCTGTGCCTCCTGCAAGGCCTCTGTGCAGCCTGATGGCAGTTCTCTCGCTCCTCTGTGCCACGGTCGTCGTGAGACTTCACTGCTTCCCTGGGTGAGGTCCCTTGTCCTGGGCGTCCCTTTCTTGGCGTCCCCTTTCTTGGCGTCCTCCCTTGTCATGCTGTGACCACCTCATGGTTGTGTGGTGTGATGTTTCCGTTTCTCGTCTGCATCTTCCAAGAGACTCAAACTGCACACAGTCAGGAACCTTGTCTTGTTCACAGCTGATCCCCGGTTCTTAGAACAGCAGCTCACACACAGCGGAACACTTGTCTCCGTAAATATGTGCCAAATGAATGAATTTTACTTTTTGTTAATTTCTTCGCACATTTTCTTTCTTTGGTCGTTCTGAAATGCTTGTTACTCAGCTGTTGGACTCCCTGGTTTGGTCTGGTAGGAGTTACATTCCTTCCGCGTCTTCCGTAGTCGTCCAGTCTTCTGCGTGGAGACAGGTCTTTGCGAATTTCCCTTGACTGACATGATGCTGTAGTGGAAAGAGCTGGGAATCCCTGCTCTGCCACCTCCAGTTTGGTCTTGTAGTGTTGTTTCACCACTGGGGTCTTCCTCCTAATGGGGTCATACCTATCTCAGAGAGAGGTGGAGCGATTCCAGTTGCACGTGTATTACCCATGTGCAGGGGTGTGTTCATTATCCGATCTGTGGGAGTCAGGCTACACTTATCTCCCCAGTATTTAGTCCTGAAGTCCTTTCTGTAGCTTCCCCTGTTTAGTTATTGCTTCCCCTACCACTTCCAGAACACAGCTGATTGTATCTTCATGTCGTCCATGGCTCGGTTGGAACGTTTGCTAGTATTTTAATCACTTCCTGTCTAGACAATTGAAGGTCTTTGTCTTTTTCAAAAAAGGTTCTTCCTAAATCGAAACTCCAAAACTTGGGATGAATTCAAATTCAGCAATGTTGCCTTTGTAGTAAAGAAACTTTATAGGATTCGGAGTCTCATCTCTTCTGGCTGTTCCTTTCTGTTCTTTTGAGTACAATACAGAACTGTTTTTGTTTGATATTTTTCGTGTATTCTCATGATATTCTTGGACAGCTTCTCTGCATTTGTGTCTGTCCTTCCCTCTTCTCTCTCATTTCTGTTTGAAAGAGTAAGAAATTCCAGAATAAAATTTGGGGCTGCTATCTTAATGCGATCCATTGAAAAGGAGTTTTGAGTAGAATGAATGAAAGGTGTTTGTCTGAGACCGCCCCACTAGCTGGGCTTATCGCGACCCGAGTGCAGCCACTGAACCATACGGTTTCCAGTTGAAGTGCCTTTTTTTTTTGACTTGACTCTTTTTAACTTTGGGGT